GGCAGTGTTTTATATCAGAACTGCACTGCAAGGGACAATTAAAGAGCTTGGATTGCAGCATTTATGAGTTTGTTTTTTGGCTACAGATCTTTAACCCTGAAACATGAATTGGATTTGCAGCCATGCAAACATATGTTCTCCAGAACTGTAAAACTGACCGGTAATACCTGTGTTTCCATTTCTGTTCATTTGTCTTTTCAAAGGGCAGCATGTAATAACATGGACTTTTTTTTCCCTGTGGCCTTTTTTCCCCTATATATTTTCTTTGCACAATGTCCTATGTAGCTTAGCAGGAAATGTGAAGTTTCCAGTTGAGATAAAAAGTTTGTTGACATACTGTGGTTTAAACAACACTTTTTCATTCGCCTATCTCAGACACACAGTAGTGTCATTGATCCTTTCCCATCCTAAACAGCAGTAATCTAAATGCAGTATATGGTTCCTAAGTCTGTCTTTCGTCCTGCTGTATTTGTCAGCTTTCTTTGGTTTTCTTCAAACCTCGTTTTCTTTGCCAGCTCTCGGAAAGAGTCTGGGGACAGTAGACTGAAGCAGATAGGAAAATCATGTTTCACTTATTTTATTCAGATATGTTCTTGTAAATGGTCCGTTTTAGAGTTTTGATTTTAAGATAAAGCAGGCACAAAAAACCTGAAGATCTTGTTTTGTAAGGTAATGCTAAGAATGTATAATGTGATAACAAGCGTTATTTGTTTATTCTCCAAGGGAAAAGAGAAATTAGGTAGACTACTGAAAGCCAAAAATTGGCATCTGGATTATGAAATTTATGATTTTCCAATAACTATGACTTGCCAGTAATTATCTGTGAGCCTTGAGTAGAGGTACTTAACCAACCGGCATCACCAGGAATGTTTGTTTTACTAAGCTTGTAGACTCTTAGTCAGGGAGAGCTGCACTCTAGTTTTCAGCTTGACTTGTTTTGACTCTAGATCTTAATTCCAGGAGAAAAGAGGGTGTATTAGAAAGCTCTTTCAGGTCAAAGGAAGCACATTCTCTCTTGGCTAGTAAGTACTGTTGGTGGAAGCTGAGGAACCATGATGCTGGATTAGTGTGCTAGAGAACTAGGCAATTCGGCTGTCATGGCTAGCTCAGCTAGCCCTGGTTTAACAATTAGGTCATATCTGATTGGAGACACTAAGTGGTTTGTTTCTGCTGGGTTTTGTGTTCTGTTGTTTTAAAGAGTACCTCTGAGTCAAATAATTAAGGGAGGAGGAAAAACCCACCACCAATAAAACACAAAGTGGATCTTTTTAGAAGAGAGATCTACAATTGCTGGCAATATGCAGAGAGAGACACAGGCATGCAGCCATCCCCACCCCCACCATAGGGGGGTGTGTGTGTGTATGTATATATATATATACTTTTATTATACTGATGATAAAAGAACCATAGTATCATGTTACTCTGAGTCTTCGTATTTTCTAGTGCTGAAATGTGCATGAAAGTCTGCAATCACTTCCCAGTCATGACAGCACATGTATTCAGTTAGAGCCAACCAAGAAATAGAAGATTGTTCGTCTTAAAGTGTATTTTCAGCAAAAGAATGTTTCTTGTGTGTGTATACTCAGGGAAATAGGTATTATGCTGCTTTGTGGATGGGGTGTCGAGTCTTTCTAGGTTTTATTGAGAAGTTTTTTTATTTGCAGTGAATCTTTGGGAAATTGGTTTGTTCTGATGAAGCTGTTCTGAAGAATTTTATTTGGGTTATGGTAAGGCCTTTGTGTAAAACACACACAAAAACTTGTCAGGTGCCAGAAACCAACAGTTTCTCACCTCAATGGAAAGCACCAAGAGGGAATGGAAGCAGGGAAGGAAGCTAAGCCATTCACATGGAGGGGAATACATGGGATGAACAACAAGAGTCTCCCGTTCAGTGCTCTCTACTGTCATGACAGTAGGCTACAAAGGGAAAGAAATACAGTGGATGCCACCACTGGAGAAATTAAAATATAGAATAAAAATGACCACAAAAAAAAGCCCAACCAAAACAGTCCACCATCTTTACTAGTAAGAGATCTGCCTGCATGCCAGCATGCCAGCTTGAGCTGGTTATCCTTCATCAGTTTTTTGTCTTCTTAAGATATGCTCTGTTCAGTGCTAGGACTGTATTTGTCTCTGTGTCTGGAAAGCAGCTAACAATTTGCAGACGGTGTTGAGATATGAAGAATAATGCTTATATATTTAGTTTTTCATGTCTTCTAAGCTAATTTAGAAAAAGTTTTCTCTGCTAGTTCTCTGTTGTTCAATGTAATTTTGAAATACTTGTAAAAACTCTTTTTTCTGGCACAGTAACAATCTGTATTTTAAAAGCTTACAAAGATAAATATTTATTACCCCCGTGGGCATCGCAGCACTTTTAGCAAGATTTATGAGTGTCTGATGTGACAAAACCAATCCTGCAATCTTGAGATTCAATGACCTTAATAATTACTAAAAAATGGATACTTTAGTGTCTCGTATAGCCCTGAAGTGAAGAGCACCCCTGAGTGGTGACCTCTGCTTTGTTTCATCTTTCACCACCTCCTTCATCTCCCGTTAAGATCTGAAAGCCAGCACTTTTGTGGGTTTCCATCAGAGCTGGGTCAAGAAGCAGTAGCGTAGGAGAATTTGCATATCAGTTTCCTTGTTTACAAAGAAAAAAAAAATCCACAAAAAATCTGGAAACATGAGGCTTTAATACTTTACCCATACTCACAAAAGGTTTTAACACAATTTGCAGGGTGCGTTTGCTGTCTGATGCCTTAGATGAGATACATCATTAGTGACTTGTACAAGAGGCAGGCTCTCAGGCTGGGTTTTCTGCATGGTGAAGTAGGCTGGAGGAGTGCGTTGTGCAAGCTGAAGGAAAGCTGAAGGAGGAGAGAAGTTTTAAAAGGAAGGAGGAATAAATTAATCTTTTTCCCACTGATGAATTTTATTCTTCCCTTAGCTTACCAAAGTTGACATATTATGCATATTTAAAATACTTCAGTGTTTTGGGGTCTTTTTTTGAGGACAGTGGTTCCCAAATGGCACACCAGTGATGGTGCCTGAGCTTGATCTACTCACTGACTTCACAGCAGTTTTTAGAAAGTGGCAAATGAATATTCAGTATCTGCTTTTGAACTCTGAAGCTGATTTATTTACTGCATCTCAAGAAGAGGGATTAACTGGTAACTCCAATGTGGACCTGCTGTTGCTGTTCCTGGGCTGTGTGCAGGTGTGGGCAGGGTCCCACTGGAGGCAACAGGGCTCCCAGCAGTCACCAGTGCCGGCTTCCTTCAGGCAGCTCCCAGGATCATTGCCTGCTTTCTCAAGACCTGCAGGATGCTGCTGACAGAAAAGAGAGCTCTGTGGCACAAGGCAGAAGCGCTGGACAATGAGCTTTGGTCTTTGCAAGGTGAAAATTGAGCAGAGTACCTGCCAGGGAACTGGATTGACTGAAATAATTGCAAGTCAGTTTGCCAGAACAGCATGGCATTTCAGGACGGTATAACAAGACACATATGAATTTCCCAAGAAACATATGAATAACACCAAAGCAAGCAGGGTGCCAAGGACTGAGTACGAACTGACACCAGTACTTGATCTTTCTTGGCAAGGGGAGGCTCAGGATGAAAGAACCGAGATGTTATACAATGGCAGATTTCCAGTTATTAATTGTAAATTGTCTCACTTCTACTTCTGGAAGTTGTGCCTGCCCAGTCCTGCATCTCTGTAGACAGTGTCATGGTTAGCAAAAAGTCTTTGGAAGTAAGAAGTGAATGCAACTTCATGTCAGTGCTGGTACTCTATCTAATCACTGAATCGAGCAGAGTTGCAGGGAAACCAGAGCTTGGAGATGAGGTGGGGTTTGATTTGGTGATGTTCAGTGGCAACGTCTGTTGCCATATTATACCTAGAATATAGCAGGAATTTGGTATGTGGTCATTCAGGAACTATTATTGCTGAACCTTTAGGGACAGTCTTAAATGTCTGGTTTGTCTACTAAGGAGGTACAACAGTGTGTTGTGCGTCCTTTCCTGGTGGTGCATTGCCATTTGAGAGTGAGATACCCATAATGTCCTGTGGAGGAAATTTTGGTCTCATAGACAAACTCCCATTGACTTATTGTGCGATGTCTGTATTTCACCCACCCACCGTAAAGCCTAAGAGCAAATAATGTGGAGTTTTTTTCAGAATTAAAGCTTTTTATTTTCTACCTTAATAAATGTAGGTTAAGGATGGTGCTGTTCAATTTCTCCCATTTTGTTTTGTTTGCAAAAAGCACTATATGTGGAAAGTAATGTCGCCTTGGCTTGTTCTGCCAACTGAGTGCTCTAGTTGGCTAAACATCCTTCTGCTAAAAAACTGTATAATTAGATTTTTTTATTTTAAAGGCCATTTTTAATTTCTTCTAGTGAAAACCTACTTTCCTCTTACGATAGCTAATATTTTTGTTAGTGCGTTGAAAGTGTCAGTGTTTGCTACCGTAGTTAAACTTACTATAGAAATGATTGCTGTAATGCAAAAAAAAATTTACTTTTCTGGTTAACAGAGTGTGAGTGTGGACCTCACAACAGACATAATCCAATAGTATTTTCTTTTCAATTAGAGGTCTCCATAATAGCTAAAATTTCAATTCTACTGTGTCTATAGTTGAGTTTTTTCCTTTATTTCTCTGTGTTTGTGTTATGTCCTACTATTTATTGATCCCTTGTTTCCTCCTTTATATATTAACAAAAGTATTTTATTGTTACCTCTACAGATACCTTTCCTGGCAAGTCATGTATTCTTCTTTGTTCCTTTGAATTTTTTCGCCTTGCCATTCTCAAAATATATTTTAATTTACTTATCTTTGAGCATAAGCTCATCTACAAGGCCTTGATTTTGTTCCCCTCCTAGCCGGGAATCTTTAACCTTAAACTGACTAGTTTTGTTGCATGACAAAATTTCCATAGCCGGATACAGCAGCATGTTGTGTGCTCCAATACATGTTCAGATATTTTCTGATTTCTTTTCAGTGCTTTGCTGTGCGATCTCTGGGCTGGGTGGAAATGGCAGAAGAAGATCTGGCTCCTGGAAAAAGCAGTGTTGCTGTGAACAACTGCATCAGACAACTCTCTTACTGTAAAAATGACATCAGAGACACTGTCGGCATTTGGGGAGAGGTAAGAATGGGCTGATCTTCTCCTCCTCTTGGAACATCCCTCTTGTGTTGTAAAACATCTTGAAAGAACAGCTCTGTAAGCAAATATGAAGGAAGCTATTGTGGTATTGTGAAGGAAGGTATTGTGGTTTGGAATAAGAGGTGTGCTGGGGACAGGTGAAGGACTGGAAGGTGTGGAGGGATCAGTAAGTGAAACAAGAAGAAAAGAAAAGCTGGGGTTATAGTGGTGGGACATACAGAGGACATAGAAGACAAACCCACAGAAAAACATCTTCATTATTTGATTGTTCATGGAACAATAAAACTTCAACAAAATCTCATTCTCTACCTCTCTCCTGACATGTTTTCAGGATTTACTACACAAGATCGGAATGCAAAAGTCATGTTAGAGTGAATGTTGTAACCTTCACTTGGGTGATTTAAGAGAAACAGTACTGCCAAAGAGAAGAGGAATTAAAAGAAAGACTTGTCTATTTCAGTAAAAAATTTAAGGAAAATATCCTTTGGTCTCCCAAATTACTGTTCTCGTCTAAGGCTTGAGTTCAGTGTCCTGGCTATGACCATAACAATGCAGAGATGCTACAGAGGAGCGATGGGGAGAAAGTGCCTGTTTAAAAATGGAAGTGATGTTTCATGGGACACATTTAGAGTGCCCTATTTATTTCAAGTAATTTCAGAAGGGTTTTTCTATGTAAGAAACGGATATTGTATGTATAAATGAACAAGATAATGTTGATCTCCATTTTTCTTACTTCTGGGAACAGTTTTATGTAGTTAATATAGCTAGACAAGCAATTAGAGGTGTGTCAGACATGGACTTACTGCTGACCCTGTGAGGGAAGAAAACCCCGCTCTCTTTACATGTGTGTAATCCCATGCATTTTTCAGATGACAGAGCTTTGATCAGCTTGAAATTTATCATTTACTTTGAAATTGTGTGCTTTATTCTGGTTTAAGAGTTGTTGTTCACATTTTTTCCATATTTCTTCCTGTCAATCCCATTGTTCTTTGTTGGAAACCCTTGCAGGTTTTCAAGCCAAACTGGTGAAAAGTTTTGGTCCTCTTGAATGGAAGTTTTAATTAAGAATGCTATTCATTACAAAAAAAAAAAAAAGCCTGACAGAACAAGAGAGACACTGTGCTTGAATAGGTGGCCCCTGAAGTAAATTGTCTTCTTGATTTTAAAAGAAATCATTAGAACCACATTTTTCTGCTGGCAATGTAATGCTTCAAGAGTGATTGGAAGAGGCATGTTTTAGAGAGGAATCTGAAAGAAGTTTGCTCGTCACTGACATATCAGATGGAGCACATACGGCAGAAATCTATTATGAAGCTAGAACTGATGATTGCAGGTAGAAGTTTTAAGATTGCCTAAAGATTTATTTTAGCTAGAATGTAATGGCAGTAAAATCGGGACTAGGACCATTCCTGAGTTTTCATGGTTTAAAAACGCAGAATAAAACCCAAAAACCCCACACACCCTGGGTAAAATCCTGACCTTACAGAAGCTTTGTCACTTGCTTTAATGTGGGACTTCATGCCCTCTGCTAGAAATTCCCTGTAAATTTCTAACTTCCATGGTTCTATAAAATCTTAAGAAAAAAACTGCAACTCACCTATTTGTGTTGCTACTTTGTCATCCATTATATTCCTATACATTACAAAGTCCTCACATGAAAAAGATACATTGCTGCCATTGATCTATATACCACAGTATATAACACTTCCCTGAAAGGCTGCTGGGATCAGTCTTTCTTTCCTTCGTTCACTTTCCCCATGCGGCTCTTCCCGTGAGAGCCTTCATCATCTTGGACCATCAGATCTCTGCAGCTCTTCAGCAGCCTGAGACATTGATGCTTATGGTCGAGCTCACAGTCTGTCTAAATTATTTCTTCTTTCCCTCTGCAGTGTTTTAATCTCTAAAATAGGTTCGTATAATAACCTCTCCCATACCACTCTTGGTGCTTGCGCTGCCAACTCTGTGTCACGGCTCCCTTAGAATCCCTGCTAGGAGATTTGGGGGTGGCAGAGGTAGCTGACAGTGCCTGCCCCTTGCTGCCTACCCTGAAAACCCTAGAATTAGGCCTTCCCAGGGTGGCATGAATGTGTGTCTTACACAGACACAAAATTAGATGTCATTAAGACTTGAGCCACTGTAACCAGGTGGAAAGAGGGTTTCTGTGTCACTGAGGTGAAGAAGAAGGTCGTTTTTGAAATATTTGTCAGTAGGAAATCAGACCCTTTCTGTTCATTTATAGATTCTGGCACAATAGAAAGGAAGCAAATTACTCTATATTTAGCTGATAGCTCCCACCTTCTTCTTCTTATTGTCAGCAGGAGCTTGTCTTACCTCTTGGCAATAGGTCCAGGATCATTTCTGTGGGATCTCACAGCCTGCAGAGTAGGTGTGCAGCCTCTGAGAAGAGAGCTGTTAGATGTGATACAAGAGGCAGCAGACCTTTTGCAAATAGTAGACATGGAGGAAGATTAGCATTTGTGAATTGGCATGAAAAGAAAATTGCCTCTAAATTTGTTTCCTCTAAGGGGAAAAAGCGTTCTCCTTGTTCTTACATGCCAGAAGAATTAGGGAGAAATCCTGGCTCCAGGATTCTGCAGTCACAGGCAGAATTCACATTCATGTCTTCATGCTAGGTTTTCCCCTTTAATTAATCTTTCTTCAAAGGGTATCCCGCAAGTCCTTTGACATGTACAAATTGCTGCCTGTTCCCATGACCCATTGGTTAAAGTTTAAGGAGACAAAGCACATTGTTTGAAGGAAGAAACTCTGCCTTAAGAGTACAGGTTTTGATTTAAGCTTTTACCATTAAGACAGTTCTTGAATTCTCATATATTTGTAAGAATTTACTGGAGAAAGGATAAACACATAATTTCTTGAGTAACTTAGGGTTGAATGAGTCAAACAGTTACACTTAAAAGACATCAAAGCTTTTTGTGATTGGGATTGCTTAAAAATACGGCAGTAGCAAGATACTATCTTAATCTTTTTCATGCCGGAAGTAAATGAACTTGTTTTCAATTGCTGTTGGAAACTTTGAGTAAATTAAGAGGATGCAAGTCTAAACAGCATAAGCATAACACCTTGATCCCTGGGATGTACTGTGTAACTGTACTTTGTCTGGAGTTGCAGGGCAAAGACATGTATCTTATACTGGAAAATGACATGCTGAACCTGATTGACCCCATGGACCGCACAGTTCTTCATTCACAGCCCATTGTGAGCATCCGAGTCTGGGGTGTGGGTCGTGACAATGGCCGGTGAGTCCTCACTCTCCTTATCCCTCTTGACTTGGTGCTGTTTCTGTCTGCTGATACAGAGTACAAATACACTCAGAGCAAGTTAGTTATCAAACCTATTCATTTCATTAAGTAGTTGTGTCCCGGGGGCTGTGAGAGGATGGGTAAATTCTTTTTCCTGCTGGTGTTACTTTTTAAAATCTCTGCTTTTCATAGTTTATCACTTATATGCTGTTTTGCTAAATCTGTATTGACCAAACCTTTGAGATTAATTCAGCCAGGTGCATAAAACTGCACATACAACATTATTTCGTTTTAGATTATTTACTACTTTTTTTATATAAAACCATGTTTTCAAATATGTCCTGTAGCATGTTTCTCCTGGCTATGTGAACGCATGTCTCCCTGCTGGTCCAAGTTAAGTGCGCTGCTTAGGCTCTGACTGTATGCGTGTGTTTCCACTTTCTTGATATATTTGACTTGATGGACTGAGGGGAGGAGTAAGCTTTAAGGCATTGCTATTGCTTAAAAATCTTGATGCAAGGAAATTCCTAAGGGTGTTGCAGAAAACTGAGGTTTGACCCTGGAACCTGACTGCCTATGAGCTGAAGTCTTCCTTGCCATTGGGAGCAACTGAGTGCGTGCTAAAGGCCTTCCTGCCCTGGAGACAGTCTTTCCTTAGCTCACCTTCCTGACTGGTCATCTTTTTGGTAGCATCCTCCTTTGTCAAGTAACATTGCTATGGGAACAGGGTTGCCTTCGAAGGTGACTTATTTGGAGTGGGACAGAGAGCTGTCTCCCTGTCCTGTTGAGCATTCTGATGTGTCAGAAAAGTTGCCATTCACATTGAGTAATTCCAGGTTCTTCGGACCATACCCATCCTGACACATGGGTTATAAGGATTGAATCACACTAATGATCTGCTGCTTTTTGTGTCCATGTTTGATTATTGAGATATTTGCAATAGTAGGCTTGGGGTTTTTTTGCCTCTGACTTTTGATAGGAAATGTAATTTTGGACCTGAAAAATCTTTCCCAGTAAAAGATTTTCCAAAACTTCTTCAATTACCCTCAGAGTTTCTGATTATCTCTGGCTAAATTTCCAAAAGGAAAAGTGATAAGTGTTTCTGTCACCCAATTCCATCATTCTAAATTTTTAAGACTGATGGTTGGGGTTTATTTACTGTTTTTCACTTCCATTGGTGCAGATTTTTGGGAGATCTAAAAGGGGCAAATCCAGTTTGAAATGGTGGGAAGTAAAAGGGTTTTAACTTCCTATGAATAAACCATTACAGTGCTTTGTTTGCCTCAGAAAATGAGTACATTGCACATTTCCCTTCAAGTCAGATTTTGTAGTAGCTTGCTTAGGTCAGGAAATAAATAGAGCATCTTAAGGGGCTCCTAAATGTGGTGCAGCTTTATAGAATAAAGGAAGCCAGCTTTGCTTTTTGGTGTGTGTTTTTGTTTTTTTTTTTAAGCATTTACAGTTCTTTTTTCAAATATTGAGATTTCTTTGGAAAATAAAATCATTCCATTATGTTGTTTATAAAATAAGATGATGAGTCATATTTCTCCAGGATGGGTACCTGCTTCTCATAAAGACAGAACTGGTCATAGAAACATTGATGTTAAAAGGGGACATTTAAGAGAAATGTGCCTTTTGTGATCATGTGGCTCACAAGAAAAAAATATCTGGTGACAGGAGAACCCATGTTGAGAAAACCATATAGTTGAGCTGGAAGTTGCACTGTATCTCTTTTCACATATGCATTACTATGCAGTCTTTGGGCTCGTCCTGGTAAAATTGCCTATTGGTCCTGAGGGGAGAAACACCAGGGCCATTCATCGATTGCAAAAGCAACTTTCCCTGATTATGAGTTAGCCATCATCAGACAAGAGTGACGGGATCACCCTGCTGCTTTGGTGGATTAATTGTCCAGGAAGTTGATGAAATCCCACTTTCTGGGACAAAGCTCTTCCGGAAGTTATTGCACATGAATGTTGTTAATCAGCTACATCTCCTGGTCTGAGACCCTAGACAATAAAATATAATTGTCCGGGAAGTTGATGAAATCCCACTTTCTCTTCCAGAAGTTATTGCACATGAATGTTGTTAATCAGCTACATCTCCTGGTCTGAGACCCTAGACAATAAAATATATTGGATTTATTGTGAAAAGTGGTATTTAAATTTTAAAATACTGTAGAAATATATATTTTCCTCTATTTTGAGCTATTTGAACCCGACAATGATCTGCAGGCCCTCCTTTTTACCTGTATTTTGCTTGTGGTAGTTTATTTGGGTAGATTTTACTTTGGAAGATGAAGAGGTTTTCTAATGACACCCAACCATATGATTTTCTAAGGTATGCTCTAATGAAAGATGGATGAAATACAGAGATCTGCTGATTAAAGTTTAATCTGAGGATGTGTCGACTAACTCACCTCAGGCAGAAACGTCTTTGGGAGGCTGTAATCACTCTCTCCATACGTTACACTATTATCTTGACGTCTAGAGTTACTTTTTTAAAAACAGTTCTGTGATAAGCAGAGGGTTCATTGTTTTCTTGACTTAGGCTGTGTGGTGATTTTGTGGTTCAAAAGGTAGCATCCCGTATTTACGGTTATTCACTCAGGAAAATATGTTTGACCTTAAGGAAAGCTGGAGTGCTGTGGTAAAATTGTGAACAAAAGCAGCTTCCCACAACAGAAGTTAGTGGTTATGTACATGTAGACTTTGAGCACCTATGTTTGATGCATGTATATGGGTATTAAGAGAAAACAAATGTGCTGTATCTGTCCACCCTTTCAGCAGACCCTGTTTTTTAGGTGATGTCATGTGATTTTTAACAGTAAAAGCCACTGCACTCTGTACAGTCTTCCTCTCCTGCTGTGCTGAAACCAGAGCCATGACGATTCATTTAATATTATTTGTTAATAAGAAAAGTCCTCATACTTCTCAGTAAGGTCATTGTCACATGGAGGATTAGTGGTATCGTAGCTATACAGTGAGTAATTGTCAGTGCTGTGTTTGCTTCTTAACAAGCAGCCGGTGGCATGTTTTGTTTTTTTTTTTCTGGACTTTAAAAGCATGTTGGAAAATATTAGCCTACTGAAGCTATAAAAAGAGTATTCTTCTCACTTGTGAGCTGCTGGACTGTCCATTAATCATCCCTCAGATTGGGTTTTGTCTCCCCTTCTCAGCTGCTGGTGCATGCTGTTTGCTTTATGAACAGCTTGGCTAACAAGGAAGAGAGAAAAGGTGATGGCCCATCAATTTTGTCAAAGAGTTTCTGTTAGCACATTTTCCTGAATCCTCCTTTATCTTCATTGCTCTTCCACCAACCCAAAGCACGCCTCCGCTTTTAAGACCTGTGTGAGACCTTAATTGCCTGAAAGATGATGCTTCCTTCTCTTATGGTGTCTCTGTACAACAGCAGTATATTCCAGCTGAAAAGTTCATCTGTTAGCTGGCCAGGAGGGCTGCAGGTGGGTTGAGGACACAGCTTTGGTGGGGCTGAATATGGAACCGGTTGCTGGATGGCGTGGGCACTTGGCATATTGGACAAAACACATCATGCTTCTTTGTTCATCCACTGTCATCACACAGCCCACTTCTGTTTTCACAGAATCACAGAATGGTTTG